TCAGCATGGGCAGAAAGATCTCCAACACAGACTTCACTTTTGCCTAGACCCACCATCCTCCACCCCACCACTGGGCTACCTAAGGGCTACACACCCATCCCTACCCTGTTGGCTAAGAGTGTAGGAAATAAAGTGACCTTAATGAAACGGCCTGCTCATTGTCCAGAGGTCAACAAAATAGATAGACAGGACAAAGGGTGTTTGGTCTCCCTGCCTACCTCTGTAGTGGCTACCACAAAACCTTCAAAAGCACAAAGTTCTCCATCCATTTCCCAGCAGAACTCACAACAGATACAGGCACAGAGAATACAGCAGACCCAAGCACTTACACAACCAAGAATGGCCACAGTGACAGCAACTCTTCCTAAATCCCCACAGGCCAAACCAACCCAGAGTGCACCAAAAGGTCCAGTCCAGGTTGTGTACAAAGTACCTGAGGGGTTGGGTCATGTAACTGAAGACAGCAGCAGCCCAGTCAAGGCCTCTGTTCATTCTGTAGTGAACCAAAACACTGAGGAAAAGATCATGCAGAAAGTGGTAATTCTGCCTTCTAACCTTCTCATTCACAAAACTGAAGAAAAGGCGTTTTTACACCAGCAACAACCTAAGGGTATTCAAGTCCCAGTTTCCAAAGTGACCAGCCCTGTATGTATGTCTACCAGTGTACCTGGTTTCACTATTCCTGAAAACAGAATTCCTGTTCAGCAAGTGGCTCCCCTTAAAGATGCCAAAACAGTGAGGACCCCTTCTCCTGTTTCCATTTGTCAGCAGCATGGGGCCACAAACACACCTGGATTCAAGGTGGCCCAAGTTTGCAGTCCCCAAGCCAAACGAAACTCCTCAACAATCACAACTCCCTCAAGTGCAGTTTCTACTGAGCCTGTTAAATCTACAGACCCTAAACAAGAACTTAAGACTGTGTGTATCCGTGACTCGCAGTCAATCCTGGTAACAACTAGAGGAGGCAACACGGGCATTGTCAAAGTCCAGACATCTTCAGACCACAGTGGGCGTGGTTCTTTACCCACCAGTCCAGTCATCACCATCTCACC